CATTCTCTTAGTTGAGAAATTATTCGCACATGGTGTTTCCGCAAACCTTTCATTATTTAGTTTCTTCACCATGCAAAGCCTCAAATCTTACTGATTTACTTCTATATTGACGCACAATTCTCCCGAGTGTAACAAAAGGGGATCCAAGAAACTGATTTGGGGAATTTTTATTTGCTGGGCCAACATGGTCTGAAATATTAGAATTACCTAAAACAGATACATGCAAATCTTTAGCACTTATCAGGGAGACATATACAACCAATCAGATTGATCATCAGTAAGAAAAAAAGTAGCTCACTCAAACTTTGTGTGGCTTTACTTCTAAAGTGTACAGAAAATTATTGCAGCAATATCATTGTAGTGGTAACAAAATGTGATGTTATAAAAGTGAAAGTGTGCCCAACACACAAATCTATAGGGTGTTTCCCTCCTCCATGGTAACACAATTAAAATTGTAACAGCAAAATTTCAAACAGATTTATCTGAAAAATGCAAAAATCTATGGGCCTTGAAGAGCCTTGACTCAAAATTGTAAGGCACTGATCCCTCAAGGCCAAGGCCAAGGTTTTTGCCCTCAAGCATCGAGGCCAAGGCCCTAAAGTCCAGCCTTAAGGCAGCCTTAAGGCCAATGCCCAGCATCAAGGCACTACATCACTGACCATTGGTCCGAAGTCCCATTGGTCCGAAGTCCCATTGCTCCGAAGTCCCATTGGTCCGAAGTCCCATTGGTCCGACGTCACATTGGTCCGAAGTTCCATTGGTCTGACAGCCCATTGGTATAAACGTCCCATTGGTATAAACGTCCCATTGGTCCGAAGTCACATTGGTCCAAAGTCCCATTGGTCCGAAGTCCCATTGGTCCGACGCCCCAAAGGATTAGGGCAAGGGTTAGGGTTAGGGTTAGGGTTAGTCAACCTGAACAAGAGGAACTACACAGTATTATGTTTCAGACCAATGGGACTTCGGACCGATGGGACTTCGGACCGATGGGACTTCGACCGATGGGACTTCGGACCAATAAGACTTCGGACCAATAAGACTTCGGACCAATGGGACTTCGGACTATCGAGACGTAACGCAAGCTATTATGGGGTCCGAGGATGCAGGAATCGTTCCCGCGTGTTATTATACCGCGTGCTGGTAACCTCGGGTTGTTACGCGGTAGAACAATTACCGACTTGATTCTAAGTCTAATACCTTTATTGTGATCCGCGGACAAAAATATAAAATGGTGTTCTTCATAACTGGAAAAGTACACGAGCGATTTGAATGATTCTTTTATTTAAGATCTCAAAGCTTAGAACGTCTTAACAAAAATATGGGATGTCATGTGGGATACCCTTTTTTGACTCGCCGTGTACAACAGCTTTGAAACAATTCCAAAGACCAATCCGAAAGACCAATCCGAAAGACCAATTTAATAAATTGACATGTTTATAAGCGACATGTTGAGCTTCCGCTAAAAGGGGTACCGGTGCTTTTGATTAACGGTTGAACAACATTAATAAAAGTGTAATTAGCCAACGGTACAATAGGTAATACATGCGTCTTTTGGGATATGGTTTTCCTTTGTATGACCGGACATCATGTATGTCTTGATTATATTTCAGAATACTCAGACAAAATAGATTGACGAACATAAAGAAGGACGACTTCAAGAACCTCACCGAACTTCTGTACTTGTAAGTATCAAATGAATTTCCCGATGCAAAACCTCATTTTCGGATTACACCAGATTGTTTTATCTCAAAATGGGACGCATTCGAGTCCATCACAAATCAGACCCAATCAGCTCAAAAACTGTTCGCTTCAGCTTTAACAAAGGGTTGTAACCAACCAGTGGCGTAGCCAGGATTTTTCTGTGGGGGGGGGGGGGGGGGGGGGGGGGGGGTGGGGGGGCTGGAGCATTTCATGGGGGGGGGGGCGTCATGTATATCAATGATAATTTCTTTAGAAAATCAAAATCTCAGTGGGGGGGGGGCGACTGGGAAGGGGGGGGGGGCAACACGGTTTCATGGGGGGGGGGGCTGTCCCCCCCACGCCCCCCCGTGGCTACGCCACTGTAACCAACACAGGTATGCCTACCAGTGTCATTGTTGAATGTTTATCCACTTTTATATTTGTCACTGACGTATGGTTTACATGTGGCTGGACTTTGTAAAAATGAAGACTTGTAGACTACATCCCTAAAATTAAATGTACCATACATCATTAATATGTTTGGGACCATAAAGCAGTTTTTAATGTTCAACTTTTGTTTTCACCATTGACCCATTCACCGTTATTTGAACTGCTGACACGTTCAGCTCTTTGGACAAAATAAGTTAAGCTTACAATTATTTCACAATTACTGCAGCCTCAGACTTGATTTCGAGTAGGCAATTAAGGGGCGGATCCCATTGATGTTCAAGGGAAATCTAGCTATGAGAGCAGTATAAAGGTGATACAATTTTTTTCTGAGGGACTCTCCGTTTTTTTCTGGCCCAAAGGGGTACCCGCTCGCGCAAATCCGATATTTTGTTGTGGGTTTGTTGGATCGGTACGACCAGAATTAGCCTACTCTATAACGAAACTTTCAGGAATACGTGAAATACATGCTAATTATTTTCATAAATTCAGTGTATTTTGACAGACAGTAATACATATTTTGATATGGTGTACCAAACTGCAAAAATGCTGGAACGAAAAAAAAATCTTTCGCAGTAACTTACTCAGTTTTGTTATTTTACAAGACAATTCATCCACACAGTAGATGGTCTGAAAAACGTTGATCACTCCAATCAAATGTTCATGATGACATCCAATAACTTTAAGGTGATTGCAAAAAATCCTGCAGGAATAACGGTAGAATAGCCTAACGCCTTGGATATTGCTATTCACAAAGCCTATACATGCCCTTGAAAATAACTTCTTCTGTATGTTTGATAGGCACTTGGATGACAATCAGATATCTTATATACAAGTTGGATCGTTCCTACCCCTTAACAGCCTTCAAACCTTGTAAGTAGCTGTTCTCATTAAATTCTGTATTTTATATCCATTCTTCCTTAATAAGTAAATCGTAGTTATACCCACTAGACCCATAACAAACACCCCCCCCAAAAAAAAAAAACACACACATGAAGTCCCACAAATAAATCCTACTTTATCATCATGGAAATTACTAATTAGTAAAGATCAGGGACAAAAAAAATAATGTACAAGAAACAAACGTTTTGCGTTAAAGAAATACTATGCGTGCTTTTTGGGTGTGGCACCCCGAAAAAGATATTTTCAAATGTAATTGGTAATTGTGTAGCATAACATTAAAAAGAGTTTCCAATAACACATCGATTGAAAAAAATCGGTCCACGATAAGTTATTAATTTATTAATATCTACTTTTGAATTAGGAGCGTCCTGCTACTTAATCAGTTCTTAAACCACGCAGAACCTATTGTACGCATGCGCTTTTGCAACTACTGTTTACGAATAAGGCTCCCCCCCCCCAAAGAAAAATAGTTGGTCTCTGGTCAGCGCGCACGTCGATTTTAATCATGCGCGTCAATCTTCTTCTTTTTTTTAAATGTTGGAGCGGTAGCTCCAACAGGCCCTCTATTGCCGCACCTCCTCAATATTTTTTTTACCAAAGAGCACCAAGGAATGGGAAATTGCACCAAGGCAAATGATCGAGGGTACCAAAGCAAATTATGGAGGCGCCAATGTACATGAGGACACCAAAAAAGCAAAATAGTACCCCACCTTGTCTGTACAATCCAAGCTTGAAAAAAAAGCTAAAAATAATTGGCCTATAAATCTCGACACCATATCCTGTATACATTTACTACTGCATATTCAAGTAGGCCTGCATACATCTACTTATAGCATTTCTCTCAAAACTTTGTGAACTCCATTAGCGCCATGTTGAAAACAATTTCTTTTTATTACTGATTTATAAAGTCTGTACATTCAAACTAGCAAATTAATTTGTTACAGGAAATAAAATCGTTCGGATAAAAAATCTAAATCTTGAAAATGCGCGTTTATTTTTGATTCATTCATTCACATAGACGTCTGCACAGCAATCGTCTGAAGAGTTTTGATTCAAACATGGCTGAGGGTTTAGGTGTTGAATCATCGTCGTAAGTACTCAGTGTTCTTGTTTACGAATTTAATATGAAAGAGGTTTAGCCTGACAGAAATTCGGCTCCCATGTCTCTTATCAGTATACAAAAAGTAATACGTAAAGTTAGGATCGGGAATGCCACCTGACAATCATGGGCGTCGCGAAGGGGGGGGGGGTGGTTAGGGGGGTCCTTGCCCCCCCCCCCCGGAAGAGCAAAAAAAGAGGGAAAAAGAGGCGCGAAATCATATTGTTGTTAATTTAATGGGTGAGGGGGCAAATGTCCCTGCCCACCCTCGAAAAAAGATCAATCAGGAAAATCATGGAAAACATAGGGATTTTGGGGAACATGTGCTTTGCCCTCCTCTACGCTCATGCTGACAATGTTCTATGGTAATTTCTGCACGACTCAAAAAGTACTTCTGGCAGGTTAAGTAAAAGGGTAGAAATTTTCCGAATTAAGATATGACTGATGACACATAGGCCTAAAGTAAAATGAAGTCACAGTTATAACGAGGAAGACAAAGTGTGGAAGTTGCAAGGACAAAATGATTCGGTGATGGTGATGTGAAAATAGAAAGTGTTTATTGAGTTTATTTTATTTCTTTCAATTGATTAATTAAGGTTGTATATCAGCTTGCAAGACAATGGATTGACCCGTTTAGGCCCTTATACGTTCAGTCGAGTGGACAGTCCTTTAAACATGTAAGTATACGTCTCTGTATATTTTGCTACGACTGGTTTTGCTGTCAGTAGAGGAAAACTGATCTAAGAAAATGTTTTCGAAACTGAGTCGGGCTTGGAAACTGAAACATAGCACTCAATGAGGTTTCCTTGAAAAAGGCTTCAAGCTATTATTTTTTTAGTTATCCCGCCGATTTAATCTATAATAGATCGTCATGAGGTATGTCTGCAGACACAGTGTTCATAAACACAATAATTAAACGTGGTCATTGGAGCCCATATCAAAAGGATAATAATTACGAAAAGCATGAGGAGAATTTCAAACTTCATTTTTAATAACGAAAAATCGACTTACTCTTGTAAACAGAAAAAAAACCTGTCGGAACCTTAAATCACTAAGACATTGGATAAAGCTTTTTCCTTAAAGAGTAAATCTTTGCTCCATCCAACTAAAACCATGCGGGGATACGGCTGTTAGTGAAATTCATTCAGTCCAGGAGTTCCGGTTTTAACTCCAGTTTCCTCAGGAAAGACTCTTTCAAACTGTTATGACTTTCAATCCCTAGTTCAATGTTGGAAATAACAATGTTATTGTGGTGTCTTAATATTAATTTATAATTAAAAATACGAAGTTTTCTATCTTAAAAAAACCTTTTGTTTGTGTTCAGAGAGTTATCCAACAACACATTGTCTACAATCCCTTCCAAACTCTTCTACGAATATGGCAAGAAAAAAGAGATATATGAAATGTAAGTTAAAATTTACCTTTATGTGCACATCAGCAAGACATAGACAATTTGTTAAAGGTACAGTCCATCATTTGTGATTTGTGCATTTTGTTAGTTTGTTAAAAGCAACAAACGTGCTCCAAATCGAAAGAAGAGTGCTACACAACTAACCTAATGCCGTTTCAGCTAAGTTTCAGCTGCATGTACATTTCGAGAAAAACAAAGATCTTGATTTCAAATCAAAAGTTGCTGCAGGTGCGGATCCAGAGGGGGGTTTGGGGGTCAACCCCCCCCCAAGCTCTGTCAAAACAAAAATTCCATTCAAATTCCTGAAAAAAGGCAACCCCCCCCCCCTGCTGTGACACTCCAAAAAAGTTGTATTGGTATAATGTTTGCCTGTTCAAAATACCATTCTGTTATCTAGTCTTAGTAATCATCGAATTTGAACAGCGCCCCCTATTCCCTATTGAAATATGGTACAAGCCCCCCCCCCCCCCCCCCCAGTTTTGGATTTTACGGAGGCCAAGTATATACAGAGAAAAAAACCTGTGTACATTTTCAGATTTTTTTGCTGATGAAACCCCCCCCCTGCGAAAATTCCTGGATCCGCCCCTGTGCTGAATCATGCTTTAAATGGGGCCTGAATTTAGCGTCCGAGACACGTTCTCAATGAGCCGATTGTAGCTACGCGATGTCGTGCACAAATCCTACGAATTGAGCCGGCCTCAGGTCAATCTGCCATTTGCTTGCGCCACGGCGAAACCGTCGGCATCAAGCAGAAAAATAATACTCGGGTCACAAAACTGAAAAATCGTGTCATTCTCTTGAAACAAGCGGCATTCCGACGCAAAATAGTCTCAACAATGCTCATGTCACCCAAGACGCGACGGTCTACCACGATTCCACAGCATAGACATTCATATGTGGCTTCTTTGACAATATGGGAATAATAATGCTTAGCCGGTTCGGCTCGAGCCATTATCAGCGTACATTCACCCGATACGGTTTGTAATACTTTTTGAGTCAAAAAGTCGACACAAGTCAAAAATTATGAATACAAAAATTATACATATCCAACGATTTTGTTGAACAGTTTTACTTCATTGTTTTTTTTAAACACCCCTCTCGCTGTGGTATGGAATATCCTCTCGAGAGGAGTAGTAAACAATCTCGAGACCGGTCTCGAGACCACTTTTTGCTGGTCTCGGTCTCCGTCTCGGGAGCTGTGGTCTCGGTCTTGGTCTCGGTCTCGGTCCCCTTTGGTCTCGTTATTTTGGCCAGTCTCGGGTCGAGACCGGCAATATGTAGCATTTACAGCTCGCCCGTTTACTATGTGTTCGCTTCGTTCAGTACCGTTGATAGTTTAAAACATTTGCTAGCCCGTATCATTGTTGTCAACCTAAGTTTGTTAACGTATCGTTATATATCGTGGTTGGTTCGGACTGCACGTTGGAAAGTCCCGGATCCCAAAAGTAGTCGTACTGCTGCAATTTAATAGTCTCTAGCTCCAAATTTTATCCCCTGGCTGTATAAGCCGGAGGGGGTATTGTGATTATGTGTGTGCACCGAGCATTACATTCACTGTGTGGACTTCCTATCGAACAAAAGATGTCCACATAAACTAGGTAGCAGCAACGTTGTGTGGACTTGCCCACGTCCACACAATGTTTCCCCCCTCTGGAAAACAGGTTTAGAGGCATTTTTGGGTTAGGTTTATCCGTGGCGAAATGAAGAGAAACACTAAAGGGAAACATTGGGGGAAAATGGGCTGAAAGAGTTTTCACAGTTTAAGTAAAATGATTTTTTTCACAGGTTTTTCTTAACTACACGAAAACATAAGAATGTCCACACTACGTATGTAACGTAAACACGCGTGTTCTACATTACCCCAGAGGACGACACACGAAGGGAGAACAAAAGATCCTTTCAGTCCTCGGGAATTGGGTCTTTTGTTCAAAACGGTCCTCTGTAGTAAGTTTGTGTGCTTATAGTCTATGGGAGAGTGTTATATCACAGGGACAAAGGGAAACACAAATCATTGTCCTCAAGAGTATACCGGAAGTTTTGGTTAGGTTAACTCTTGTCAGCACGATAACTTGAGAAAAACTTCACTAGGAACTTAAAATTTAGTTTGTTATTTGTTCTTGGTAGTCTTAAGATGCCTGTTGCTTCTGGGGGTCAAAGGCCTAGATCACTAGTGTTAAAACAATAGAAATCTTCCATTTTGTTTAGGGGACACTGACAAGTACCCATACTAACTAACTGTGTAAAAATTGCTAGCATGCGATGGGATCGCTTAAGTTTCACTAGCAGTATTATTTAAAATCAGGTTTACAAGTCTTGGTAGAAGTTCAGTCCTATTATTATTTTGTTATTTATTATTTGCGGTCTCGGTCTTGGACCATATCTGTCTAGGTCTCGGTCCGCCTTGAAGTGGCTGGTCTCCGTCTCAGTCTCGGTCTCGAAACTTCAGGTCTTGGTCTTGGTCTCGGTCTCGGACTGTCCGGTCTCGACTACAACACTGCAATGCACTGCGGTAAACATTGCGTGACGTAATTAGTACATAGGGTTATTATTTAGCCAATCACCACACTACCCTGGTGCTCCTCGCGTTCTGTGCAACATTACGCAGTACGCACCACGCGCGCGTCTATCACCATATAAGAGATTGTTTACCTACTCGCCAGAGGATATTCCATACAATGAGCTCCGTGCGCTTCCAAAAGAGGGCGCCCTTTTACCTAACAACGACGCTCCATGGACGGGCATTTCACTGGTTGACGTGCACCGTTCCTTGTGTGTGACGCACGTACACCAAGGGATTTGTTCTATTTACACGCAGTGGCCGCGCTTCGCGGTAAATGAATTGCAGTCAGGCAAGATGGCGTCAGTCGGTCACCCCCAACTGTACTTCCTTTGCTGGTGAGGGGGTGCTTGTAAACGGAGCGGATAGCTAGAGGGATTGTGCGTTTAGTGCCAAGACACTGACGTACAAAAGTAGGCCTAGATTTATTTATAACACCTCACCCACATATTCTGTGTCTTGATTGGCCGAGAGCGAGTCACATGATACTTTTTATTTTGCTATCTTTCTGTGCACGGCCAAAAGTACTTTCCCCTTAGCAACCAAAGAACTATACCATTAGCAACCAAAAACGATACGTCACAAGGGCAAAATAACACAAATTTATCTGTTCTATTTTTTTGATGTGAAGGGCTGAGGGAGGGGCGTGCATCCCCGGCCCCCCAGTATCCAACAGTACAAAAGTGCATCTGATATACTGCGTATGTCATACCATGAGGAGGGACAATGGAGAAAAACAATATTTTAGGTGTTGTCCCTTAAAAGCTGCCGTGAATTTAGATTAAAGGACAGCGCAACAACTGCGGGAATATTCTGTTTGTTGATGAAGAAAATAGCACTCAAACAAACTGGATGGAAAGGTTTTTTAAGCAACGCGCGCAAGCATTTTAAAGTGGAAAATAAATACGAGAAATAAAATGGACCAAACTTCGAAATGAACATGCAGCTTGATAACCCATTTTGAATTTTTTGGGGGAAATAACTACTACAGGTCAAAAATATTACTTTTACGGACATGAACATATATCTTTCCATACAAACCTACAGAAAAAAGGTGCGCGTAACGCAACTTTTGTCCCACGCGCTAAAAAAATGCGCCGCGCATGGCAGAACGCGTGTCTGTACGCACTGCCGATCAAGTATTTTTATTCTATATCTATGATGCATGCTAGTGTGCGCGTTGCGCGTTGTGCGTAGCGCGTTTTGTTCCAAAGACAGCGCGCCACAGAGTTGGGTTCAAACATTACGCAAAGGGGTAGTTTGGAAGAGAGAAATACATTTGTCACCAATTTGGTATTGAAATTGAAGTTTATTTGAACTGTAATTAGATTAAGAATATTAAAACCAAGCGGAATCTGTGGGTGAGGTGTTATAAAACAAATATTGAATGCTCTACCTCGTTCTGAAGTAAAACTAGCCTCCCTCAGTGATCCATGGAGCATTCTATTTTCCCTTGGCTTCGCCTCGGGAAAACAGAATGTACGTGGACACCTCGGGAGGCTAGTTTTACCACAACACTCGAAGCATTCAATATTTGTATAATATGTGTGCCAGAAAAATGGGTATAGGGCGGAGACATTTATATAACATCCTCGTTTTAAAAGGTCGGTTGGCCATGTCGACATGGCCATCTTCTCGACATGGCCATCTAGTACATCTTCTCGTTTCATAACCTAAAAACGTTATCATGTACTTTTCATACAAATAACAGAAACTTCAGCAACAACAACATTTCAGAGGTAGCACCCGATGCTTTCCTAGGTGTGAGCTCCATTGAATCAATGTAAGTAGACTTTCAGTGATACTCACAAACTGTTAGAGATGTAAAAGTGAGCTTCTATGAGCTCGATACAAATGAAATAACTATCTGTGTCCGTCTTGATCTACATATTTTTCTTTACGAATTTTACACAGAAGATTGTGATAAAGACCTCTCATCTAATTTAAGTCTTGGGTTAAGTCACAGAAGCTATTTCAATAGTACATGTAATATGTGAGTTATTTAATGGGATATTTAGTTCAATAGTATAGGCCTCCTAATGGAGTATACCTCCAATGGAAAGCAGGCTAAATATAAAAATAAATCTCAAATTTTTGACAATCAAAGCAGTTGTTCGAATTACTCAAGTCAACATTTATTAAAACGCTTCTTTTCTCTTGCAGACATTTGGGTATCAATAAGATATCGTCACTTCCCGAGGACTGGTTTGACAACATAACGATACTTCACACGTTGTAAGTGAGAACCACAGCTGATGGCAGACGTATATATGATAGCACAATTGGGACGGTGTCCAAATAGTTTGAATTCTGCTCGAAGTGTAGCGAACGTACAGCAGCATTTCGTAGTTAGATATCATGACAACTACTTTCACTTGTTGAATTGAGCTTTCAATAAAAGCTCTTAAAACCTGTGGTCTAAATATTAGACCACAGACCGTCAATGATTTACACAGATTGTTCAAATCTCACGATGATTAAAGCCCTATAGCCTGTTTAGGCATTCTCAGTGAGAATACAGATCGGTAGGACAAAGTGGTCCCCTCACTTTTTATTCGTCCCCTTCAAATAACACAAATATATGTAATTAATACAGATAGCGTGTCTGTTTGTTGTAATCTAAACCCATATGCTACTCTGTCTAACAAAACTGCTTTCATTTCTTTCAGAGACTTGTCTAAAAATAATCTTTCTTCGTTTCCGGCGGAACTTCTGAAGTCTCAACATAAACTTCGACATCTATATCTTCAACTCAACTACATAAAAGAACTTAGAAAAGGGATGTTTGACGGACTCCATTCTTTGCGAGAATTGTAAGATGTTGAGCCCCTGAAAGAACAACTGAACCCAACCCAATATCCAATCACCATATCAAAAAGCATTAAAGCAACAAACCTAACACCCTGGAAACATTAAACACCCAAACATAGACTTTCGAAAACCTGCAACCCCCTATCTCTGAACTTCCAAAACCCCAAACCCACAGGGCCCGCGCCTTCAACAAGAAACCAAAACAAAGCTAAACATCTACAGAGCCCCACATATATATCTCGAAGCCCATGCAGTAGAAAGCAGGAGGTCGTGGGTGCGAGTCCCACCCGAGTGATTTTTTTTCAACTTTCACTTGGGAGGTAACACACTGAGTATACAGTGTTTGTACGTCGGTGAAGGGCAAAAACCTAATATTGATTTATATCACCCTGACGCAAAAAAAAATGAATTCCATCTTATGAATGTAGCTAAAACCTGAACCTCAACTTTACCCCCAACCCTATTCCACTTAAATCCCAAACCAAGAACCTCCAAAGTCCAAACGCTATAGCCCGTTTTTACGACGCTTCAATAAGCACACAGTTTTCTGCTGATATTGGCTTGACTCATAGCCCTGATATTGGCGAAACTCTCATGAAGATCTTTTGTAATCTAAGTAAGCAAAATTTATATATATTTATGTGTGTTGTATGCGTACATTCCGTGGAAGAGCTTTTCAGTTTATATCACAAAACTACTGCCACCGTTAATTTGACCTTGTAAACCTGCAAACCCCTATTCTAAAATCCCCAAAATCATCACCCCAAGCTACAAATTGCTGTATTTAATTTCTGCTTTTTAGACAATTTATAATTGTTTCCACAATACTCCTAAGGAATGAATGCCTCAAGTTTAATCTGGAAATCTTTTTGTTGTTTGAATATACTAACAGAGTGATAGGCGTCAATATGATCCACACGATAGATAACTATGTGTTTTCAGAGACACAGTTGGTGAATCTGTGAGTAATTTATTGAATTTTACTACATTAACAATTTCTGTTTTCCAGCCTAACAATTTGTCGGACAATTATTTTTTTCGAGAACTTTCCTCGACAGGTTAAACGTACCCTTTTTTCCCCCGACCTTATTATACACTTTTGATTTTGTAATGCAATTAAATTAAAAAAAGGATTACCACCGCGTTGACATATTCCTTTCATACATTGTGTGCATTTGTACAGAACTCAGCCATCTGTGATTATTATGTGCAAACCAATATTTCTACATTGTCGAAAAATCGAATCTTTTTGAACTGCTTTTCAAATTTGAAAATATATAGAATACATTTTGGTCTTTCAAGTTACTAATTATGCAGAGCCTGAATGAGACATTTGACATTTTATGGCAGACATTTATTCCACAACAAGCTGACATCGCATGGACTTGGAGAACACCCATTTGCCACAAGAAACAAGTCACTACAGCTCGTGTAAGTCTTGAGAAGATTCAGACAGGTTAAGCTATCGTTGATTATCTTTGAAGTTTGCCAATCTGCAATATGCATGAAATACGGAGACTACCGGTACTAGTGTTTGTAATAAAATTGTCATTTCGGTTATTATTCATCCCCCCCCCCTTAATGACTCAATTAAATTCCTTCGGCATCTTTCTGCCGGTATCAATCAAACAAACAACCACACACACATTTTGTTGTCAAAACATTAAGACTGAGATGAAATGTTTTATTCTCTGAAAAGGGTGTGAAAAGATGCTTGCAACAATATGATCAACATTACTGTCAATAAACCCATGAAAATAGAAACGAATATATATATTTTCTGAATGTGATTTATTTTATGCTTAGAGGTTTGCTTTGATGATCCGAATTTCTACATTGTTTTTCAGATCTTTATACCGCAACTACTTCGACAAAATCTGCAATTCTGCCTGGCAAGATTTAGGACAGAATTGCAACGTGTAAGACAATTGAATCCAGGGACTTCAGTTATAAGCAAAATAATAAGCAAAAATAATAATAAGGGACACTGGCTTGAAAGGTTCCTGTAAACAATATTTACTGCATAATTTGCACTGTGGATAACTTCGGTAGCGTAACTACCATTACCGAATGGGATGAATGGCTAAAGAGAAAGGAATTCTGAATTGGTCACTGAGTGTCGGCTACATAGGCCTACTTAAAAATGCCTCAGGCTGAAACACAGACATATAAACGCATTTATATGTCTGTGGGCTGAAATGACATCGCAGCAACAGCGCCCTCATTTGTTTTCAGCAAAAGCATGAAAGTGTTTTCAAATATAGACGTTTCACTTTTCAATAAGATTATCGCAACAAATGACGCCAAATGGTTTCCATACATTTAAGTAGAAACGCAAAAACAATACGATTACTGTTTAATCATGAGTGTTTCGCTTTACCGTATCTCTCCATCTTCAGATCATTGGAAAACACACTCAAAGTGGTACCCTTCACAAGAGTGGACCTCAACATGTAGGTATTGTTTGTAAAGACCCGATTTTTACAGAGTAAGCTTAACAATGACCTTTATCAAGTCCAGTAAGTTAAGGGCCGAAGAGGAGAATCTCAAGGCCTGATTTCACCCCCTTATTCCGTTCGATTGTATTGACAACGTCGATCATTAGATCGTTGCAGTGTTGCAGTGTTGCAATGCAGTGTTTTTAAACTAACGGTAAATGAAACATAATCCATTGCCCCGTCAGGTACTATTATATAACCGACATACAGATCCTTGTCATTTGATTGGTAGAACTCACATCACGTGACATTCGTTATTGTTCCCATTCACGCCGCGGCTCAAAAAGTACTATCCGCCCATGGGGAATGGGAAATATACAAATATTGAGTGGATCAGCGTGGAATGGGAGGAATATTATCGCAAGGTAAAATCTGGACTTTTCCATTTCACGTGGCGAAGCCGAGTGAACTGGAAAAGTCCAGATTTTACCAAAACCTGGGTCGTAACACGGCCTGTCAAAGGCCGCCATGTTTGTTTGAACCGTTTGTCTCGCTATGATTTTCAAGATGGCGTACCCTGATAAAGGTATATTTTTCATAACACCTCACCTACGGATTCTGTGTCTTGATTGGCCGAGAGCGAGTCACATGGCACTTTTTATTTTTGCTATCTTTCTGTGCACGGTTAAAAGTACTATACCCGTAGCAACCAAAGTACTTTTGTTGATGTACCCTAACGTGGCGCGGCCCCCAACGTGGTGCACTTTGATTGTTTCGCCTGAAGCGCCTAGCTAGAGCAAAAGTTTTAACTGAAACTTCACAGAAAATGAAATTTCATCAAGTTCTTAACACTCCTGTTCATAAATCGCGAGTTTACTTACACGTAACAAAGTTAGAAGAAAAATTTATTGAGTGATTTTCCGATTTTATTTTCATGTGCAAAGTGAACCCTTTGAAAATGCCCCGAAACATTAGAAAATAATTCTCCGACAAACATCTGGCTGGGTATGTAAGTAGTGATAATAATTATTAATAATTAATAATAATTATTTATCAGAATTTATCAAGTGCGCCATGTTAGGGAACACTCCGCCAATTTGTGCCCAATTTCCGGACGCCACCGTCAGATTTAATTTTGGATTAAATTATGAAACCGAAATTGTTCACAGAGGTTAAATAGCAAGCATTAATAAGGTAAAAGTACTAGTATTTTACTGCATGAATTTGAGGTTTGTCAACAAAGAGGTACTATACTATAAGTACTATATCCGTAGACTTGGCCAAGTCTGGGTTGCGCTCGGTCTGTGCCTATAGTAAATCCACTCACAGCGCATATCGCATATGTCCTTACAGAACATAACGCGCGCCCTCATGCGTCGAATCCGGACCATCATGTTAAAAATGTACAAGTACATGTTATTTTCAAGTGATGCAGAATTGCTAACTTTTGCACCACATGCTCTGCAAGACATGCACACACATGTACGTGTAATGCGCGTGCTGTACAATGTACATACAATGTGTGCGCATTATACGGCACTGAAGTGGAACGCGCGCTGAAGTGTACCTTGTCGGGCATCTGGAAAGACGTAAACTAAGTGATTTTGCTACTTTTGTTTTAAGATACCGACTTAAAGCAATTCCGACTTAAGTCAAGTCTTCTATATGCATGACGTGGTATTTTTGTGCACCTTGAGCGTTGCGTGTAGCGCGTATTTTCCAAAGAGAGCGCGCCACAGAGCAGTTTTTCGTGAAGGGATGGTTTGGAAGAGAGAAATATATTTTCCACCAATGTTGTATTGAAAATGAAGTTTATTTTAACTGTGTTCAGATTTAAATAATTTAAAATACTAAAACCAAGCAGAATCTGTGGGTGAAATGTTATAAAACAAATATTGAATGCTTAATCTCGTGGTGAAGTTAAACTAGCCTCCCTCGGTGATCCATGGAGCATTTTATTTTGGATCATCTCGGAAGGCTAGTTTTAGTACACCACTCGAAGCAATTAATATTTTGTAAATTATTGTGGTTTTCCACCGTGGTCAAATAGATAAATGTTGCGTAAAAGGCTTGGTGGAATTGTTTGGCCAGGTTATTGATATATTTTATTGATCTTTTCAGTGATTTAGTTGGACGTTGGTATGCTACGTCAATAATAGTTGGGCAATCCACCAGTAAAGCAATGAATCAATGTGGATTCAGCTGCAAACATCTGGAGAAAGTGAAAAAAACATTTAATTGTACATCGTGCCCTCAAGGTACCTATGGAGGAGTGTTTGGTGGGTGTAAGCCCTGCCCTCCAGGTATGTCTTCGTATATTTTAGGATAGGCCTATGTTTCATATCTCTTTTACATTTGATATCAAATAGTTCTTCAACATGGAGATCATTCAGTTGACAATTGCTATTATTGCAATTGTCCAATGTCAAGAATTGCCCTGCAATGTACAACCACAGAAGGTTGATAACCGATGAAGCCAGCACCGTTTTTCAATATGACATGCACAAGCTGAAAAAATGAGATAGTAATACGGACAGACATTAAAAAAAATGACATAATACGGGAACGGTGATTATCCGAAGGTTCGTAGTCCGAAGGTTCGATAGTCCGGAGGTTCGATAGTCCGTAGGTTCGGATAGTCCGTAGGGCCCATTATTCCGAAAATAGCATAAAAGGTTAATTAATATGAAGGCTAGGCTCAATAGTCCGATTACACGATAGGATTCTACAGTCTGAATCGACAATAAGGTTCGATAGTCCAAATGGACGATAAGGTTCGATAGTCCAAATAGACGATAGGGTTCAGATTCGTCAGTCCGACAATTCGGACTATCGGACCTTGTGTAGTCGATTCGGACTTTCAAAACTAATTGTCATTAAACTATCGAACTATACTTTCGTAATAATGAACCTTTGGAATATTGAACCTTGTTTTCATTACGGACTGTTGAACCTTTGGACTAATGAACCTTTCTAAATTCGGACTACCGAACCTTCGGACCAATGAACCTTCGGATTATCGAATCTTCGGACTATCGCGTCAAAATGTTCGGATTAAAGAACCTTATTTCATTGTCGGACTATCGAACCCCCTCTTTTCGAAGAGTTGCGCATTTGGTCTGTCGAACCTTCGGACTATTGGGCGGACCCCGCCGGGAACAAAAGTCTCAAACATTTTTTTTAAACGAAGTGAAAATACTGTTGTATTTGAGACATTGTACTGATTTTCTTCCAGGCGGATTTTACCAGGACAGCACCGGATCAGTCGCCATTCGACGCACTGGTATGAATTGCAAGCAATGTAATAAGGGTACTTACGTCCCACAAAATAAACACCCTGGGAAAACTATCTATGATTGCGCAGTATGTCCAACAGGCACCAATAAGAGTTTTCATGCAGGATACCGAGCATGTCCCTGTGCGTCCAATCACTACCGTAAACACAGGTTCGATCAATGTTTTCCGTGTCCCCAAAAAGGAATCAACTGTACGGGAGAATATCAGCATCTTCTGCCAGGATTCTGGTGGACATGGGACTGGGGTCCAGCTGAAAACTATCAGTCCTACAAGAAATTTGTCAAAAATTTACTCACCTACAATGATAGCTATGACAGGCACACTGAAAGGTTTGATGGAATGTTACCAAATGTTCATAAATGTCCTACCTCCGAATCGTGTAAGAATCTTGCAGCTGGAATAAACGCAACGTGTGATGATGGTCATGCCGGTTTCCTGTGTACACAATGTCAAGCAGGCAGTTATGCTTGGCTGGATAAATGCTTTGAGTGTCCAGGGATTTGGGCGTTGATACTGGAAGTCTTGGCAGCTCTTGTCATCCTTGCAGTTTTGCTCATGATTGTCTTACTAGAACTCAGACGACACAAACGAAGCGGTCGATCACTCATTAGCGTTCTGTTCTCTCGGTTTAAAATTCTACTTGGTTTTTATCAAATCATGGGTGAGATATTCGAAGTGATGAATGAACTTTCCTGGCCGGAGACACTAGTAGAACTTGGTTCCTTCTTGCAGTTGTTGGAGGCCAATTTGATGCAGGTGATTGTCAGTCCTCGATGTTACTTTCCCGATTTCACCTATCCCAATGTTTACATCGCTTTCATTGCTGGTGCGTCGTTCTCGGTTACTGTGATATTGTTAGGATTGGGCATTTATGGTTTTAGGCTATTCCATCTGCGGGTGAAGAGTGCACCGGATGAGGTTCGCAAACATACGCTGGCTAAAACGAATGAGAGAATTCTCTTGGCTGTTGTCATTCTGTTGTTTGTTGCATACCCAAGCTTATCAGCTGTCATCATTAGCTTACTGCCTTCGGGATGTGTCACATTCTCATTGAATGAAAATGAAAATGTTACCGTTACTCGGCTCAGATCCGACTACTCCGTTGACTGTAACAGTAGTCAACATGTTGCATTTAACTACGCTGCCGAGGTTTCCGTGTCTTATGTTGTTGGTTTCCCGAGTGTATTACTTATCATGTTATGGTTACATCGTCGTAGACAAGCATCGAAGAAAAACCGTCATCAGCTTGAAACTGCTGATATCCAGGCACACAGTCACATTGACCAGCAGTCTTTACTTGATACTGACGACACGGGCTCGTCTTGCAGTTACCATACTGCCAGTCATGCAGATCAGACTCATCCTAGTGATTCACTACATACGGAAGATGAAGAAATTGCACATATCGGTGATTCTCTTGAACGACTTAGCTCCGAATTACCTCTTGAAGAATCAATCGAAGTAAGCTCAGAAAGTATTACCTGGGTGAGTTTCCTGGACGAGAACTACAAGGAGCAATATTGGTATTGGGAGATTGTGGAACTAGCTCGCAAAGTCCTCCAAGTCCTCTTCGTTCTGTTATTCGGTGCGGATGATCAATTCATTCTCTTTGCGACCATTATCGTATCTGTTGCCTTTCTAATCGCCCACGCTTACTTGAAGCCAATGAAAGATGCCGCAGAGCACCGTATTCAGATGTGGTCCTTGACTACCATCTTTTTGAATCTACTGGCGGCATCCTTGCTTGTATTACCCAGCGAAGAAGGCCATACCGATGACAGTGATGCAAGGAAGGAATTTCTGGCAGTATTTCTTGTCCTGCTTAACATCAGCATCTTTGTAATCGTGGCAGGTATGTATTTTGATTTTCTATCGCGCGACATAGTTGCGGTTTGCAAAAGTCTTTCGGTCTTTGTCATTTACAATAAGTTAACAACTTTCAAATGAAGCAGTTTTCCTAAACACAATTTTTGGCTAAATTGGTAGGTACTTTCTACAGTTACTTATAACATTTTTGATTTACTCTTCTTTTTTCTTCTTCACTAAGCTTGCAGCCGTATTATAGTGGCCCACACAAATATTTTGTCTTAAAAATCCGACTGTTTGATCAATTTGATCTTCCCCCTCGTGAGCATATCTGTTTATTATTTGGTTTGTGTTCACATATTTATTTTTTTAGTGAGTTCCATCCACGTGTGTCTGAAGGTTCTATCCCAAACGGCGTGTTGTAGCTACACTGCAGCATGTTTCCGTCACATATGTCGTTGTCTTGCACCAAGCCATCATCGCACACAGGAGGAACATCGCGACGATACTGAGCCAACGACAACTCTGATAAGTGGAGTACCTATTGAAGAAACAATAACGAGTGCCGTACTGTCTAGGAATTGCATTGTATTTTCCCCTCCAACATCGAAAAAATGATGAATTGAGAATAACTAAGCTGTGAAGTATGGTCAGAGTGTTTGATGGCCGTCCTTATTAGTGGATAAAAATGATGATGATGATGATGATGATGATGATGGGGATGATGATGATGACGATGATGATCCTGTCTGCAAACATGGGGACTTTTTGTAGTTTGAGAAAAGTTCGTTTTGACTTGGACGGATAATGATTGTAGCATTGACAAAGGTGGAAACCTTGCATCAGAAGAAATAGGTAAATGACTTACGAAATAACCCTTTATTACTTTATATTAGAAATAGTTAAATGCATGTATTGGTTTAGAAAATATCTGTTTTCAATTTTTTGTATAGTACAAACTTCGTGGCTTCCCTGAATGTTTTTATCATAATCTAGTTTTAATACTTTAACAGCTACAATGTTTCTTTGTTTACCAGGCAGCTCTGTTTCTAATTATTATATAAACTTAAAATGTCAAACTTTAATCTTTTACGCAGAATTGTCGACTAGTTTTGTATAACCAGTGGTTTTTGTTGCTCAATTCCTTGGTACTAAATAGTGAATTTTAAGAGCAAAATCGGGACGCTGATGAAAGCAAAACTGAGACAGTAAAAAGAGGCTCAACCGGGATGAACAAAATATGTATTGCGACAGGCAAACAAAAAGCCTGGCTACACGCCTGGTATTCATAACCTTTTTGTCATAATCTAGTTAGAATACTAATAGCTAAAAGGGTAAATTGTCAACCAGTAATAAGAGAAGTGTCTAATGTTTCTTTGTCTACAGGGTAGCTCTATTTTTAATTAATATATATTTTTTTCAAATACTTAATGGAGAAAACACTAATCTTGTACACACAGTTTTCGACTTGTGTTTTGCAGTGGTTTTTGTAGCACAAATTAAAGAGTGCTTAATAGTGGGTGAAAGACGCACACAAGCTTTAAAAACCCTCATATTTAAGATCTTACCTTGGGTATAGTTAATGAATGATTAACGTATTGATGAACAAATGACGTCTCCATAGGAAAGAAAACAAAGAAAAAACAAGAACATACCGTTTGGTATCAGTTTTGTATTTACTTAGAAAAACAAAATGATGATGTTATATTTTTCTTATTGGGAGTGGGTTAAATTCATTAAGTGTTTGCATACAAAATGAGTACAAAATGTACTGTCGATTTGTGGCGAAAAGATTTTTAGCATTGACAAAGGCTAAAACCTTGAATCTGAAGAAAGAGTTACATGACTTATGGAATAACATTTTGCTATATTATATTGAATATGTATATTTGTTTTACGCAACGTATAGTGATTATATGATGACAATAATTAGAAAATTGAATTTAGTCGCTGGGAATCTCTTTATCATTAGTAAGTTTCAGTACTTTCATAAGGAAAAGTGAGTAGTAATGCATGTAGTGAGAAAGGTGTCTAATGACTCAGTGTACAATGACTCTGCTTTTAGTTATTTCAAGTACTTGTCTTAATGAGGTGTACATTAATGTTTTACTCATTATTGTCAAACGTAGTTTTGTACAGGCAATATTTTTATTGTTCAAATTTAATAGTGCAAAGTAGTGGTTTAGATGAAAACAAAATAGCTAAGAAAGACGTATAAGTATGTTGCCTCGTATATATTGTGAATATGTCAAGAGGATGTGGTGCTTGTTTTTATTTTTGAAAATAAGTTGTTTTTTTTTCAGCATTTCAAAATGTAGTGTTTTAAATAATAGAGGCCAACAACAAAGGTTTGAAACCTTGATTGGGTTGCTCACTCAAATAGGCCTGCGCTGGCTTGTTCTCCATCCAAAGATGCCAACCGGTATACATTGTGAGAGCATGAGTGGATATCCATGATCCTTCACCCCAAAAAGTTTCATATAGTGGTTACGACACTTGTCAAATTTGGCGGATGAAACGACAACAACCCGGCTGATCTTAATACGCTTTAGCTGGATTGCAGGTCGCACGCATAAGGAAGTAATAGTGGGGAATAGTCACGATTGTTAAGTTTGTTAAATTAAAATATGACGATAAATATCCTAGGCCAATTTCCCTAAATTTCGTCATATTTCAAATTTGTGTCACTAATCTTCAGTCATTAAATGGAATAATAGACGAATTGAATTGACTAGAACTTCACGATTTCTTATTGCTCTTCTTGTTAAAGTTATCCCTAAAAAAGAGTGTCAAAGGTGTATTGGCATGTTGTTTTCGAAGTCGTTTTAACTTAGAAAGAACCTACACGTAGGTATGAATTTCTGTCTAGGCTACTGGTCGGATTATGAAGCAACTCAAGGTAAGGGCTATATATTGTTGGAAACTAACAAACATAATTTCGGGGTGCTCTCATTACAGTTGTAGCATGGATAGACAGCCGACATTAACTTAGATTCGTAATAACAATACTTCAACAACTTTTGCGTGACATAACATTATTGAATACTGTGTACGAGCGACAGATTTTGCTAATTAATATTGTTAAATGAAGGCGACACGTCTTTATATTTGGGTGACAATTTGGCGTCGCCCATTTTGTTAAATAAACGACTCTGAGGAGAGGAAATGTAATCGTCCCGGATGGTCTAGATCGATTCCTCGTGGTCCAAAACATAAGTATACAGAAAGTCGTGGAGGCAGGATAAGGAAAACTTGAGTTAGTTGACATTTTTGGTTCGTGCACAAGTCTATGGGAAAGTCTCCCTATAATAGCATTCGATGGAATTATTATGTAATATTATTACACTAGTAACGGATTATCTCATTTCTGCTTATAAAATCAAAGATTCTCAGAAATCGCCAAAAGCACCTCAGCTAACAAGCCTAGAGAAAACAAAAGAGAGATAACAACAAAGACGTTCGATTTTACACAATTTAACTCTGATGAAATCAACAACAACATACACTTCACATAACACTACAGAGATAATTTTAAAAAGCCTAGTTCATTACGGCTGGATAAGCCAACAATGCATTTGCAGAGTCTGTATTTTCTTTGGGGTCCCATGATATATTCGAAGAATTGTCCATTTCAATATTTTTGGGAATAAACTCACAGAATGAGGTAGGGACTGAAATCCAATCCACATCCTCATGACGGGGATCAAACCCAGGTCACATAGGTGGAAAGACGAGGGCAACTCTTATGTTCCAGTTGTATATTAAGTGAAAATAATACATGAATTATATAACATTTCTAAGCTTTACGTATTACGAATTTGTGGGTATTTTAGTGATTAAAAAAAATCCGTTTTCTTATGCTCTTCATCAATGGGTCGTTAGTCCCTGGAGGCGCTCCATACAACTCGTCAGGATAGCACGTGGACAACAATGTATAAATTAGATAATTATTTGTAATTTACTGACAAGCTAACTGTGGCGAAGAGACAGAGATTAAGTTCGTCTTTAATAGAATATCTGACCTATTGAGACCTTACAATTTATATAAGCACGCACCACCTTATAGTGGAATTGCGCCCTCTGCTGATAAGCAAAATCATTCAACAAAAGTGCAATATATCATTGCGATAATAAAAGTGCCCAAAATCTGTTAACCCACACAAAAAAACATTTTCATCAGCATGCACAGAAGCCTCCACCCGTCTATTGAAAACGGAGTAGCCGGCTGACCAACAGTCGGGCATCTTAACATTTGCTTTTGGTTCTCGCCAATAAAGTGCTGGTGCCCCTCCCGGTGCCCCTCCCCCTCCCCCCCCCCCCTCCCCAGTAAAAATCGTGGCCGACACCACTGATTTCACGGGGCTTCCTTGATCCAAAGGCGAAAACGAAGCTCCATTTTCTTAATATGAAAAGTAGACTGACCTTTTGTAGCCAAGTTAGACAT